GCAGCACGTTATTTGACAATTAATTTATTTAATTTTATACGATTAAAATTGCTGATAAATGATATGTGATAAATATGTGGTCTTCATTTTATAACCAGAAAAAACACAACACAGAATTAGTGTGAAATTTTTTTTCATATATATTTTTTAAATGTTTTTAAAAAATGTTTTTTAAATATAAGTTTACATAATACATGATTTGAATTAGACATGCTTTTTGATTGCTAAAAAATTTACACCACGTATCCGTAACACGCCCGCACTGCAACACTAGCAGTTTTACCCTGTGTGTGTGTGTGTGTGTGTGTGTGTGTGTGTGTGTGAGAGAGAGAGAGAGACAACCTCTGGTGCAGGGGTGTGCAAAGCAGCCGGTATTTGTATCTGTATTTGTATTTGTTCAGGGGGGAAAAGTATTTGTATTTGTATTCAAGTAAAATTCAAAATAGGCATAAAAATCTTTAATTTACTTTATAGTGTATGGATTCTTTAATTATATTCATTATAATAATTATGGATATGCAATATTGATTGATGTTTTTCTATAAATCCAGCAATGAACATGTAACAAGAAAAGTAATTGAAAAGAAAATAACAGTCAGCCATTACCTCATGAACCATGGTTAAACCAACAACTAATAAAATAAAATTGTGAACATTATGAACCCCAACACCACGGTGGAGGACGCTGAACAGACAGAATAAGTTAATAAGGGATAATGTATAGCGAGGAGGTTGATTATGAGCCCGACGCGAAGCCTGAAGGGTTTGTATTCGCTATAACAACCGCCTCGCTCTACATTACCCCGCTTATTACATGGCTACCTAACAAATAAATCAATAATTTGACTCAAAATATCGATATAAAAAGGAGTTTATTGATTTAAAAAACGATTGCATCGCTTCCGCTAAAAAAGAAAAATAGTCTGTCTCTACGTTTAGAATCCATGGCAACGCTCTGTTTTTCATGGCAATGGTGTGTTATACTTATAAGCAGCGGCCTGTTATAATAACAGACCGCATTCTACATTAGAATTCAACCAAGCCATATAAGAAACAAATAATTACCGTTACCGAGCTAACAGAGCTACATAAACAGAGTGAACATGAGAGCACCCGTCTGCAGACGTCAATAATGGAATATACTCCCGATCAAACTCCGCTTCCCGAAAGTTATAAACTGCCTCCGGAACCTAGTTAAGGTACAAACATCTATTCAACAAAAATAGTGATGCAGTTAAGTGTTTTTTCGCTCAGCCGAGCCCTCTCTGTTGCTGTGTGGAGCAGCCTGTGTCAGTCACCTCTTCCTGAACGTCACTCACTCAACTCGCGCACTGCGGTCTCGTGAGGAACGCAGCTTTTTGATATAAAGTATTTCTTGTTCCCGAATACAAATATTTTTTTTAAGTATTTGTTCGGAATAAGTATTCGTAAAAAACACATTATTTGTGCCTTTCCGAATACCATATTCGGATTCGGCTCCACCCCACTCTGGTGTTTAGAGGGATATGTGGTATGTGGGTATGTGTGTGTGTGTGTGTGTGCGTGTTCAGAGAGATACGTGGTGTGTGCTACATCATGACAGTGTTGCCAACTTAGCGACTTTGTCGCTATATTTAGCGAGTATTCAGACCCCCCTAGCGACAAATTTTCAAAAAAGCGACTAGCGACAAATCTAGCGACTTTTTCTGGTGTTATTAGAGACTTTTGGAGACTCTCTGATGTGAAATCACATTTCGTTTTTCCTCATCTCAACAAGCAGCGAGTGCTGCCGTGGGTCCCATCCCGTCCCAAATCACTCACAGGTGGCTCAGTCCTCACGCAGCAGCCCCTCCCAGCTGTAGACAGACAGAGCAGGAGATGTTCTCATCCGCGTACAAACTGCAAAACAATCGCGCAAATGAGTCGCTATTTTTAGCGACTTTTCAGACCCCGACTTTTTGCTTTTCTCCCTTTGCTTTCATTCACTCTACGTCTACCCTGTTTCGTGAATGGCTGAGAGGAGCAGATCATCTGTTGAACGCCACTGACAGAGGTGAATGAGCAGTGTTTTCCCAAGGACCTATCACTTATCTGCTTTCTTTAAATAATATTTTTTTTTTATTTAAACAATATAGTTTCCTTTCTTTTCTTGTGCTTGCTGTACTACTTTTTTGTCATTCACTATATCACTCGTTTTGAGTGACAAAAATATATAGGAAATGAGAACAGCTTTATTTTACATTCGTTTATATTATATTATAATATATTAAATACAATATGTGAGCTGAGCATTAATTTATAGAGAAAACACATTAGGCAAGCAGAACGCAAGTACGACGTGATGACGTCACGAATATGCTAATTAACGTATGACGTCATCTAGCGACATTTAGCGACTTTTAGGGAAGGCATTAGCTACTTTCATTTGAAAATAGTTGGCAACACTGCATCATGAATCCATTTTCCAAACCGTGTTTTTGACTTATCCTGAATCACTACGGTACGCCTATAATAAGGGTTTATATTCTGACTATTTTATCGAGGTCGACTCGGATGCGGAGTTGCCCAGTGCCTGCGTGACTCGCCATAGACATTAATGGAGAGAAGTAGCTCTGGCTACATTGTTCTTCCACAAGACACGTGCAGTTTATTTATTCACAAACGTAGACATCACGCGCATTGCACACTGATGGTGGAATACGGCAATTACCAATTCACGAATTAAAGGGTCATGAAACCCCCCTCTTTCAGCTCAAGTCTAGCTCAAAATCTTTTTGAAAAATGCAACTGAAATGGGCGTGGCTAGCTGTGAGAAGAAGGGAGGGAGTGGGTGTTGTATGACCATCACTGTCACTGTCCCATGCATATCGACTGTCACTAAAAAGCAATGGTAAAACGTGAGGAAATGCTAGATTTTTATATAGCTGGCAAAGTTAAAGTCTTATGAAGTACACTGACACTTTATTATCATCCTTTCAAAAGTAACTGAATGTCCTACTACAAATATTAGCCTACAGTAATCGTAATTCTATTTAAAACATATTAATGTAGGCTACATGTATATTTATAATGTCATTATAAAATATATAGTGGTTTATATAGACACTATAAATACATTTCAGAAAAAAAAATATTAATTTTCCGCTTAAAAAAATCGTTCCATGCATAGTCATAGACAGTAAAAGAAAGTGCATAACTCTACGCGCCCTCTGAACCCTCATAATAAATGACTTCTCATTTTACACACACACACACACACACACCTCTGAAGGGATAGAAAGTCCTCGGGATACCGCATCACTCGCAAGACACAACTTGGATTAGTTGTCAACAAGGCGAAGTCCATCATTCTCCACTTGTCGCAGCTCTCTCGCGAAAATGTTCGCGGCACACACTATAGTTTGGATCAGGTTTAGACATGTCCGTGTTTTGATGGCAAACCAACCGTCCAGAGCCAGAGTCTAGCCCTGGCAGCATTGCGGGGAACATATTCAACGCACTTGGACTTTGCACCATGAAAACAAATAGTTTGCGTCCCATGATTGCCTCTCTCATCTAACGTTACTACGCGATATCACAGTTTGTCATGTCTGTCGTTGGAAAGATCCACGTGGTGTCATGAATAATTAAGAGGCCGTGTCTTCTCATAGGATAACACCGATGAGTCATCAACGCACTGTGCAGTGCACTGCCAAGTCACCCGCTACAATGAAGATTTTAAACCCGGAAGACGAAAAAAGCGGAAAAAACCTCAAATTTAACCATTTTAACCTTATTATTAAATCTAACAGATGCTAACATTGTCTTCAATGGTGTTCAACACACATACCTCTGTTAAAATCTCAGAAAATTTGGTTTGGGGTTTCATGACCCTTTAAGGCATATAAAAATGAAAATGTCTCATGAAACAGCGTGCCCCTTCCTACGTATTTTCACCGGTTAGATGAGAGTAATCGCTCGACTGAGGAAAAGGAAATTATTATAAAATGCAGAAGGTAAAGAGTGTGAGATTTCTGATTTTTGTTACAACTATAAACTTTGATAACGAAAAATCTGTATTAGCTTATTATAATACTAATCTTTCAAAATGTAATGCATACATTTGAAAGTTTAATGATTTTTAAAAGATAGAAAGATGGTGCTTATAGATAGATAGATAGATAGATAGATAGATAGATAGATAGATAGATAGATAGATAGATAGATAGATAGATAGATAGATAGATAGATAGATAGATAGATAGATAGATAGATAGATAGATAGATAGATAGATAGATGCTGCAACCCAGAAAGCCTTTGCTAGCTTTGGTCCATTAAAACCACTATTAATCAGCATGCATTGATTAATCCCATGGCATGTAGCAAAAAAAAAAAAAAAAAAAAAAGTGTAACCAGATCAAATGCTGGTGCGACCAACTGAGAAAGTTGGTAGCACCAGTTCAACCAGTGGAAAAGTTGGTCTGGAGCCCTGTGTGGTGTGTGTGAGACGCCCTCTGGTGTTCAGAGAGAAATGTGGTGTGAGACGCCGTCTGGTGTTTCTGGTGTTCAGATGGAGTAGCAGTTACTACCAATCAGCTGCACTGACAAGCTGATATTTATATAATTAAAATGCAGTCTTTGCGATTCGAAAATCACACAAAGTAATATCGCGATTCTCATTTATTGTTGGTACATCGTGCGGCCCTAGACTATAGTACTTGCGTGCGTGTGTGTGTTTCACTGAAACATTTAGCTGCAGCCAAGTGACTTAACACAACCCACACTTTAAAAATCGCTGACAGTACATAACACTTTTACGTTGTTTTTCATTAGCTTAACAGCTATGCATGTATGAACAGTAGTTAACTGTAAAAGAGCATCATCAAGAATTGTCCTTTTGTGTTGATGAATGTTGAATTGATATGTGGGTGAGAAAAATGACAGAAATTTCATTTTTGGACGTATTATGCTTGATACTGTAATAGCAAACACAAAGCAAACAACACAATACAATATAATATAATACACAGCAACACACTACCTCTCCCTGGGATCCGGGATGCAGCAGGACAGACAAAATGAAAACACAATTACAAAGTAATTCAGCATCATCTTAATTATAAAGATAAGCATCAGCCACAGCATTGCTGTTCCAGACTCACCGGCCATCATCGCGTCCCACTCCCCACACACGGATGCTGACGATGGGCTGAGAATGGAGCAGTGTTCGTCCATGAGGCTCAACCAGATTCAGTGTCTCATTTTCCAGCACCAGCAGCATTTCCTTCCCCTGCACACAAGAAATACAATACACTCAAATCCTGGATGCAGCCAGGAAGAGCACAGGGCGTGATACACTAACACACAGTTCAGTGTACTCAACATGATTTCCCATTTCTCTTTATTTTCTTGTCTTTGATTGCATTGTAAATAATTGTCAGGGATATAGCACTTAACCAAAAATGCTCACCCTCAAGTCGTCTTCCAGACGAATATCGGAGTTTAAAGGAGAGGATCAACATTTTGGACATCGGGCCTCATTTCCAATTTAGCCTTAGTGGTATTTATTAGTGGAGAAAGTTAAAAAAAAGTCATCCAGTCGTTCCAGAATGGTCAACGGTAACTGGCAGCCTGCCATTTAAAACAGTTTTACCCACTCCACTGTACACCAAATGCAAATAAATTATAACGCAAGTCTATTGATGTAAATGTCTGTTGAGAGAATAATGTTAGAAATCCAAGTACTCTTGCATTACATTAATAGGAACTAGTTTGTCGCCAGCGGCGGAATTTTACTTTGCTCCGGTTAGTAGTAGACTGTGCCAGGACTCAACACAACTTTGTTCGTCTAAAAGTTTTGTCTTTTCCTCAAATGGACTACCAAGTTCGTCTCCCAGGAAAGGAAGTGGACTTTGCCGAACTATTTCCTCGGGTAACGTCACCTCAAAGACTTTAAGCCTTTCAAACACTCGCGCTGAATGCCAACGAACGCCACGTGACTGCCCCACGGAACAAAGGAGCCACGCACAAGCGACCAACCATGCACGCGCCGGGACGGGCCGTGAAAAAACGCTCCACGTGGGACAACACTTCCAGTCGACACGTGGCCCGAACGGGCCGAGCAACGAGTCCGCGACTCACACAGACCAAATATGCTCTGCAAGTATACCCTCTTTTAGAGCTTCTAAGAAGCATAAAGAAAGTGTTTTCGTGGTGTTCAGAGAGGTTAACTGACTGTTTTGGTGAATGTAACTCCCTCTTTCACAACTCACTCTCTCTCACTCTCCAACTCACGTGTATCCATTGTCTAAACGCCCTGCGTCGTCTTAGTTTGTGTTTTAATGTTTGTAAATACATGTATCATTGTAACGTTGTAAATGCTTAAGTAGTTGCTTTATTAAATACAATTATGCTCATTTTGACTGAATCATTGTCTTGCTCATAATACCAGTCAATGAAATAATACCAGTCAATGAAATGTCGATTAAACGCTACTAGCTGTAACTAAAAATACCTAGAAGGGTATTTGTTTATGGAGCAGGGAAGGCAAATTCTTGTGGCCACAGAATTTGTTTTCACGACTCTATAAATTAATTGAGCTAATTAATTTTACTTGTCTTGTAAAACGTGGTCTGTGTAATTGATTACAATTAATTTGTGGTTAATTGCAGAGACGCACATGTATGCATACAAGTAAAATTTAAATAAGCATGCCTAAATGGGAGATTTATTAATATGTAAGACCAGTCTGATCCAAATCTGTATGAATAATTAATAATTATCAATTATTTATTATGCTATGCAAATTATTTATTATGATATGCCCCCCCTGATCAGACCCGAACAGAGTCTTTACATTGCCGAAAAGTAAACACAGAAGCGAAGCACACTACAGTCAGGACTACCTCTCTCTCTGAGGATTGTGGGTAGCAGCAAGAGTGTTTGTATCAGAGCACATTGTTGTATTTTGGCGTTCCCCGTTTTCTTTTCATTTCTCTTTAATTTTTAAACTGAAGTAAAATAGTTCAATCAACTTGCATTTTCCCGTTTGACCCTCGACCATGGTTGCAAGTGTATGCCAGATGACTCCATGTCCATTGAGGATGTACTGATAGCGATCAGTGAACAGGTCGGTGGTTTAAACATTAAATCTGCCTCAAGGATGAATAGAGCACTCATCATATTTCTTAAGGAAGTTTTAATGGTCGATGAACTGAAAAAAAAGCAGCCTTTCAGGAGAATAATGCGGCCAAGTAAGGAAAAAAACACAGCCGTTCAGGAGAACGCAGCCATTCACAAAGTAATAAATTAAGTTGTTGAGAGAAATGTAGCGATAAATAATGTAAACACTGGAGATGACATAGTACATGGCTCTATTGATGGAGTATGCAGAAACAAATTGCAAAAATGATGAAAAATTAGAAGTAAATGAAAATTGTAGTCAGTCATTTACAGCTAGCTCTAGTGTCGCCAGGTCTGAAAGTGATTCAGATGAAGGGGTTTTGTTTTTTTTAGAAATGGGAGACATAGATTCTCAAACAGGCACATCAAAATTGAGTGGCTGTGAAATAAAAGTCTATGACGAAACAAAAGGTGTACGGAATCGACAATTTGACTAGTTTTTTTCCAGATTTAAGAAGATTTTTTGCATCTTATAGAGATGTCATGATAAATGAAAATTTTGCATGAAGAAAGAGATCAAGGAACAATTGCACAAAAAAGATTTACTCAGCTTAACAACATGGACTCTTCAACATCATTCTTTTTTGCTTTGGAGAAAAAAGGTTAGAGAAAAGAAGTTAATTAGTAATTTAAAACTTATTTAAGCACACCCCGTTTCATGTTATACACAAGTTATACATTGATTGGGGGCAGGTGAACTGCCTTAGGAACGGTTTCATTCCCTCTTAGACTTGATAAAAATACATCATCATCAAGTTGATCACACAAGAAAAAAGGAGCTCTGGCCTGCAATGATCATATGAGATGGTAGACAACTACACAGAGAAAATGAACTTTTTTTTTTTTTTTTCGATTGCAGCGCTTAATAGACTATAGGATTATCAGCGTCTGGGCTGATCTGGAACTAGAACAAAGGTGCTCAAGAACCGGATCTGAAATCACTAACCTATTCTTTTCAGTGATGGAAGAGAGACAACCGACAAGAGAGAAATTACTTCACAAGTTTTGTCCTTTTATGAACAACTATAGTGCTGAACCTTGTGATTCTGAAGCAACATATTTTCTTATTGGAACTCCAAAACTGAATGAAGATGAGAAGACAATTAGAAAAGCGACTTTCACTTGAAGAGTTGAGTGAGGCTGCTAAACAGCAGTCTGTGGGACGATCTCCAGGACTGGATGGACTGACTTCCGAGTTTTACAAGGCTTTGTGGTCATTGATTTCATGAATGTGAAAAATCAAGAATTCTTCCTCTAAGTTGTAGAAGAGCAATAATTATGTTATTGCCAAAGAAAGGAGATTTAGAACTTTTGAAGAACTGGCGCCCAATCTACCTTTTAGGGATAGATTATAAAATACTTTCAAAGGAATTAACAAACCGCTTGAAAACTGTTATGGCTTCAATAATTTATAAAGACCAGTCTTATTGTAAGACGTTCTATTTTTGATAACCTTTTTCTTGTGCAAGATTTGTTGCAGTTTACTGAGATTTATGGGCTTGATGTTGGTCTTTTATCACTTGACCAGGAAAAGGCGTTCGACAGAGTCGACTACGAATACCTTTTTAATGCCTTATCAGCTTTCTGATTTGGAGAACAGTTCATCTCATGGATCAAGATCCTTTACACTGATGTTTTTAGTATGTTGAAGATAAACGGAACATTAACAAGAACTTGCGGCAGAGGTGTAAGACAAGGATGCAGCCTCTCAGGACATGCAATATCTATCAAACCTTTATTGAGAGTTTTAAGAGAAAAGCAACAAGGTATTTCAGTCCTCAATCACAATATATCGGAAACTGCTGTAGTAAGGCTTACTGCCTATGCTGATGACGTTATAGTCATAATAAGATCTCAAGAAGACATTTTCCAATTGAGCAAGTGTCTGGACTGGTTTCAAAAAGCACCTTCAGCAAAGGTAAACTGGAATAAAACGGAAGCATTACTTTGTGGTCAGTGGCAGGAAGAAGCTCCACCTCATCTTCTACAACAGTGCCACTGGAACACAGAGGGATTGAAGATCCTTGGAATCTTTTTTGGCACTCAGCAGTATATGACAAGGAATTTGGATGAAGTGGTTGAAAAGATATTGGAACGATTGAAGAGGTGGAATTGGATTCAGCCACAGTTATCATGTAGAGTTATAGTGATAAACAATTTAGCTGCTTCAATTGTGCTTCATTTTTTTTGAATGATGATGATAAATTAGTGTTTCAGTGGTATTGCTGAAATTTGAAGGAATTAATATTGAATTTAAAATGTTATTTATTACTCATTGTTATTATTTGTCATTGTCATTAATTATGAAAATGTGATTATTGTATAACATGATAGGAAAATAAAAAGTGTTAAACATCTTCTCTCTCTCTCTCCCTCTCTCTCATTACTTCTCTCTCTCACTACCTCTCTTGGTTGCCTAGGTAACTTAATATCAATCCGCCGCTCCTGTAGACTGTGCTAATAAATACAAGGAACAAAGTATAACTACTGCAATGCGATTCAAGAGTACTTTGATTTCTAACATTATTCTCTCAAAAGACTAGGGCTGACTTCTAATAGTCGAGGATTCGACGATTCGATTCGGAAGAGGTCTGATTCGACTATGAACGTTATAGTCGAATAGTACACGGCCAGTTCAACCTGGAATAAATCAGGTTATGTGTGTCTCCCGCTCACGAGCGCTCACTCTTAACAGACACACGAACAGACACACTGTCCCCGGGGCTGCTCGCGCGTCACAGAATGTTCATCAAGCGCTCCCCGTTCACAGTAACAGGGTCGTCTCATTCAAAACAGCCAGCTGTTGCTGTCAGCGCACATTGAATACTCATTATGAGTCAGGCTGCGAATGCAAGTTACGTGCCCACCCCAGCTCCAGCGCACTCACATTAATAAACGCCTAAACTCCGGCGCCGCGCACTCGCTACATTCCCAGCACATCTTCTAGCATAACGCAAACCCAGTCAAACGTGTGACTGCAGTATCTTATGCGTCTCATAATCCGGTGCGCCTTAAAGTGCGGAAAATACGGTATACATGCGTTTTATATTTAGCCTGAAATAGACAAGCATTCATGCGTGACAAAAAATCTAAGTTTTAGGAGGCAAA